TTATTTAAAACAGTTATAAAAATGTTAATAAATTGTTGTGAATGCACCCGACACTGTTGCGTAATGAAAGTGCACTAAACAAATTGGCGGCATGGCGCCAATTGCTGACAAAGGTGTTCGGTTTCACGGAACATTACTCATGAATAGGAAAGTTGTCTGACGAAAATGATATTGATAGAAATATATAATGTGAAGCTTCTTTGAGAATACCTATTTACAGCGAGCGCTTAACCCATGAGCTGCTACCACTGCTTGTGCCATAATACATATTAGGAAAAAAATATATATTTTGCTTATTTAGTAGTAGGGAGTTTCAATTTAAGGTACAAAGAATAGACATAGTGTTATATTAACTTAAGTTACAATGAATACACAACATGTTCTTTTATACTATTTTTTTTTCACATGCATCAGGTAATAACCCTATCAGAATAGGTATATATTTTCGATTTTGTTAGAATGCTTCCCCTTTGGTCCTTACTTTTTTACTCTGTGGTAACGTGAAATATATCATGTAATTGGATTACATGATAACACCAAAGTATGCAAACCGACAGCAATACTACCCATCTCAAAGTAAGGCAGCCTTTCATTAACGGCCATAGTAACGACAGTGAGACTAGTAGAATTACCGATTGATGCCTGTTAGTCCCACGGGCGGTACTTTATATTGCTAGAACGAGTGGGAGATTACAGTTCTACCTTCAGTTCTTCATATTTTATTTTATTATTTACCCTCATTACTAACGATACATTAAATATACTAATATAAATATAAAAAAATAATATGTCAATAATTAAAAACCCAATATGTCAATAAATAAAAACCCAACCAGATAAGAGGCCGTCTGCAGGGGAGATCAAACGGCAGAAGATTAGGGGAAAGGGAAAGATTATTATTTTTGAAGTGATTAGTGAATGAGTGGGAAATACAGTACAGTATTAAAAACGATGATACGTTTTCTTGATTTCTTGTAATTTTTCATATTATTTAAACTACTTATGTAAAATAAAAAATAAAAGTAGATATCATTCTAGTCTAAATAGATAGAGGTATAGATGAAATAATGAAAGCAATGAAAAGTATGAAAGCAGGTAAGGCAGCCGGTTATGATAGAGTATCTCTCGAAATGCTAAGGGCTGGAGAAGGAGTGGTGGCAGACCTGCTGTACACCTTGTTTAATTTATGTTGGGAACTTAAGCGGGTACCGGGAGACTGGTGCAAAGCCGTGATAGTCCCAATATATAAGGGAAAAGGATCCCAGCAGGACTGTAAAAACTACCGTGGTATCAGCCTTCTTAGCATTGTGGGAAAACTGTATGCTAAGGTACTAATTTAAAGAGTTATGAAAGAAACTGATGGAAAAATTTGGGATGTGCAACCGGATTTAGAAAGGGAATGGGATGTACGGATCAGATCTTTTGCATGCGCATGATCGCCGAGAAGTTTTTGGCCAAAAAGTTTTTTGTGCGTTGTGATGGACTTGGAGAAGGCTTATGACAGAGTGGACAGGGATGTGTTATGGCAAACACTGAACTCATTTGGGTTGAGCGCTGGTCTGATACAGGCATTGAAGTCTCTATATAGGGACTCTAGTGCTTGTGTCAGGATCAACGGGGCCTACTCGGACTGGTTTGACGTCCATAAAAGTGTCAGACAGGGCTGTGTGGCTTCCCCGTGGTTGTTCAACCTATTTATGGACAGTTGTTTGGAAAATTTGAAAGTAGAAGAATGCGGGTTAAGAATGGGTGAGTTAACCGTCAAATGCCTTTTGTACGCCGAAGATCAAGTCATACTTGCGTCGTCGGCAGCCGAGTTGCAAATGATGGTTACATTAATTAACAGGACTTTAAAAGAAAAGGGAATGAAAGTGAACGCAAGTAAGACGAAAGTTATGGTTTTCGAAAGAGAAGAAAGTAAAACGATATGTGAAATAAGAATAGAAGGGGAGTTGGTAGAGCAAGTAGATGAGTTTGTATATTTGGGATGTGTGTTTAGCAGGGATGGTAGATATGATAAGGATATAGAACGACGAGTGAATGCAGGAAATAGAGTGAATGGGGCTCTACACTCTATTGTGAACAGTCAGAATGTGTCAAAAAAGGCACGTATGGCAATTCACAATGCTGTGTTAGTACCTACTTTAATGTATGGTAGTGAAAGTTGGGTGTGGCAGAAGAAGCATGAGAGTAAAATAAATGCTGTAGAAATGCGGTCATTAAGGAGTATGTTAGGGATGAAGCTGAATGACAGAGTGAGAAATTGTTTAATAAGAGAAGAGTGTGGTTTGCAAGATGATGTTGTGACCAGGATTAAGAAAGGAATTCTTCGGTGGTTTGGCCATGTAGAAAGAATGAATGAGGAAAGAGTGACAAAGCAAATTTATGTTGCAGAGGTGAACGGCATAGTCGGGAAGGGTCGCCCTAGGCGAAAGTTTATCGACCAAATTGGCGATATATTAAAAATGGGCCAAATCAAGAGTATCTTTAACCGACCAGCGTGTATGCGTAGGTATATGGATGTGGAGGAAGCGAGAGAGGTGTGTCAGGATCGTGCCAAATGGAAGTCCATAATCTCTGCCTACCCCTCTGGGTGACAGGCGTGAGTGTTTATGTATACAAAGTGACGATGAAGTTATCACGTTAAATGAAAAGACGTATTCTATACAAAGTTCTTTAAACATACACAACTAAAAAAATATATAACAATTAACATTCTGGGCGCGGTAGCCTTTTTTTTGTTTTAATATTAAACAACATCATGTAAATGCATCAGATATCACCTGATAAATACTAGAAGTTCAAAGACCCATGGCCCGTGAAGGCCAAGTGACCTATATTGTATTATAGTGCAACGTTGCCAATTTTAAATAATCAAATAAAGTAATAAATTAAGCAAAAAATGTACTTATATGTAACAAAATAAGGCATAATTCTTATGCGCGATGCGACAAGAATTGGGACGGGGTGTTGGGAGGGTGGGATGTGGTCAGTAAGTCACTTAGTCCGACGCCGGCGTCCTTGGGAACGGTTCATTAATCGCTTGACCTAATTTTAGTTTTTCGCGTACACGTCCTTTTAATTTAAAGTTTTTTTTTGTGGATATTTTCATAAGTTTCTTGATTTGTTTGAGATAGGACACGTTAATACTATAATAATAATTGTGTTGAGGAGGTGGTGTGACTATTTGTGCGAAATTTGACGCTTTCTTTTACTGTCTTGTATTTTTTATTTGTGATAGGACTCGTTAATAATAGATAAGTGATATTTAATAACTTAGTGGTGTGTCAGCCCGTGCGCAATTGGACGCTTTTATTTTTTTAAACGTATAACTTTTTTTATTTTAAAATGCCTCGTATCAATTTTACGTCATTGGAATACACCGATATGGTTTTAATTTATGGAGAATGCCACCAAAACGCGTCCCTGGCATTACGAACATACCGAGAGAGGTATAATACCACACGTGTATGTCCTACAGACTCACGGATTTTTATACGGGCAGTCCAAAGATTACGTGACGGCGAAAATTTGATTCCACGTCAGGTTGAAATTCCTCCGCGAGTCGCCGTGGCTCAGGAAGAACGAATATTAAATTATTTCGCTCGTAATCCAACATCAAGTCTCCGTAGAGCAGCTCGCCAATTCTGTGTACACCACAAGTCTGTTCACAGAATATTAAAAAAAAACAAGCAACGGCCGTTCAAATACGTAAAGGTACAGGCTTTATTAGATAGAGATAAGCCAGTTAGGGAAGCCTACTGTGAATGGCTCCTGAGCAAAGTAGCTAATGACTCTAACTTTTTAGCAAACGTAATGTGGACTGACGAGAGCACATTCACGCGTAACGGAATATGGAATCGGCAGAACTTACGATACTGGAGTCAAGAAAATCCGCAACTGTGTCGAGAGTCTATGCACCAATATAGATTTGCCGTTAATGTTTGGGCTGGAATACACGAAGATCAAATAATTGGTCCCGTGTTTATCGAAGGCAACCTTAATGGGCCTAAATTTTTGGAACTGCTTGACGACACAGTGGCGGATTACGTTGATGGACTATCGTTGGGGGCCAATAGGCGGTTATGGTACCAGCTTGATGGAGCACCTGCTCATTCAGTGGTGGCTGCCAGGCAGCGCCTCACTGAGATGTTCGGAGAGAACTGGATTGGCAGATACGGACCTTCTCGGTGGCCAGCACGGTCTCCGGATCTAACACCGTTAGATTTCTTTTTATGGGGTTACATAAAAAATGAGGTGTACTCTACTGAAGTAACGACTGTCGAGGACTTAAAAATAAGAATAATGCGGGCTTTCGACAAAATAAAAAATTTTGCAGCCAATGGTGCCCTCTTTCGAAAAGTCCGAAATAATATCATGCGACGATGTCAATTATGCATTCGGGTACACGGCGGACATTTTGAAAATTTAAAAATTTGATTTGTTTCATAAACTTGAGTGATTTCAAGGTTAAAGTGATTATTTGGATAAAAAAATACCATGAAATTTGTGATTTGTTGATAACATCGGATTAGCATCGCCCTACGCGTGCCTAATTACCTATGTATGGGCAAGTCCTAGGACCTAGGTATTATAATATAATTACCTATATCGATGTCGCATGAGCAATGAACCGCTGGCCGCGACGTTGCCGCTTCTACAAGTCATTTCAGGTCAGTTAAGTAATATTATCAAGGATGATTTATTTTATGTGATTTTTTACCCTATTTATTTTGTTTGAAAGATGCATTTTTTATTAGTTTTTATTATTGTTTATTTTATTATTTTAACAGACATATTCAACTTGTATTAACTGTTGTGCTATTTAACGTGATAACCTGGGCGCCACCCAGTATATGTTGTTATGTATCATTCTAGTCGTACAGAAGTTTCACTTCGTACTTGTGTACACAATTATGCGCACCATTTTTTATACAGTATACTGTGTGCGCGTTACTAAGCCCGGTAATATATGTGAGTGTGTGTGTGTGTACTTGCAGAACTCGGCGGAGGAGATGGAGCGCAAGAAGGAGCGCATCATGCTGCTGTCGCTGCAGCGGCGGCAGCGCGCGGACGAGGCGCGCGCGCGCGCGGACGCGGCGGCGGCGGCGCGGCGCGCGCGCGAGGACGCCGCGCTCGAGCACAAGCTGGCGCGCAAGCAGGAGCAGGCGCGCCGCCGCGAGGCCATCCTGCAGCAGTACAAGCTCAAGAAGGCGCTCGAGGAGGCCGAGCGCGAGGTACGTACCGCACAGACTACTGAGCTCGAGCGCGGCGCGCGCGCGAGGACGCCGCGCTCGAGCACAAGCTGGCGCGCAAGCAGGAGCAGGCGCGCCGCCGCGAGGCCATCCTGCAGCAGTACAAGCTCAAGAAGGCGCTCGAGGAGGCCGAGCGCGAGGTACGTACCGCACAGACTACTGAGCTCGAGCGCGGCGCGCGCGCGAGGACGCCGCGCTCGAGCACAAGCTGGCGCGCAAGCAGGAGCAGGCGCGCCGCCGCGAGGCCATCCTGCAGCAGTACAAGCTCAAGAAGGCGCTCGAGGAGGCCGAGCGCGAGGTACGTACCGCACAGACTACTGAGCTCGAGCGCGGCGCGCGCGCGAGGACGCCGCGCTCGAGCACAAGCTGGCGCGCAAGCAGGAGCAGGCGCGCCGCCGCGAGGCCATCCTGCAGCAGTACAAGCTCAAGAAGGCGCTCGAGGAGGCCGAGCGCGAGGTACGTACCGCACAGACTACTGAGCTCGAGCGCGGCGCGCGCGCGAGGACGCCGCGCTCGAGCACAAGCTGGCGCGCAAGCAGGAGCAGGCGCGCCGCCGCGAGGCCATCCTGCAGCAGTACAAGCTCAAGAAGGCGCTCGAGGAGGCCGAGCGCGAGGTACGTACCGCACAGACTACTGAGCTCGAGCGCGGCGCGCGCGCGAGGACGCCGCGCTCACATTAATAGATTCAAGCGAAAGGACAAGGCGGGTCGCTAGTATAAAAATATAAAATAAACGCTTTTTGCCTATATGTACCCTCCATATATTATTCCTAAGGAACATATGGAATCACACAAAATTTGTAGCAACCACATTTAGTAAATATTTCTGTAATATTTTGTTAACAACATTTTAAAATTCTTTGACGACAATCTCTACGCATAGTTAATTTATACTCTTTAATCTTTACTCTGTGCGACTGGTTGATCACAGAATATTATGAGTTTGACATTGGCTACATAAAAGTTTTATTTTATTTAATATATTTATAACACATTTATAAGTTATTGCACTCTGCACCCCTTCTCTATATAAGTTTTATCTATGCCAAATCACACACTCTTCGCGCAATATGCTTAAAGAGTGGTACAAAGTTTTCCCTTCACGTATTAATATATAGATGCCTATCAGTTACCGTTACTGCCTATAAAAATACCACTATTGCAAACAGCTGAACATTTATAGATCACACAATATATTACTTTTTCTCATGTGATAGCCTCTAAGGTTCTAAAAATATATTTGAAAATTTTGCAGCAGTTCTATGATTCTTAATTTTTAAAACAAGCATCAGTCTTGAATCTTATAAATGATTATCACTATTTTATCCTTAGAATACTTGTTCCATTCCAGGGCAAGGTGCTGGACAAAAACGAGTTCTTGGAAACGCTTAAGGCGGGCGGGCACTCGCCGAGCGTGGGCGGGGGCGGGGGCGGCGGCGGCGGGGGAGGCGGGGGCGGGGGCGGCGCGGCGCGGCTGCGCGGCAAGGCGGCGCGCGCGCGCCCCAAGACCATCCACGTGGACTCGGGCGCGCTGCACGCCGCCGAGGGCATGCTGGCCAAGCAGCCCTCCGCCACCAACCTCTCCGGTACTGCCTACCCACATAATGACTATTAACTGCTCTTGAATTCTTGTCTTCATTGTTTCGACGTATAACTAGTGCATTCGATTGTCTTTTTGTCGATTTTCAGTATAGTCTCAATAAAAATATCAAATACATATATGCAATGCACACAGATAAATAAGTGATTTTTTTAATAAAAAAATACTGCGTTTATTATCATATTCTTGCATTGCTATGCAAATTTGAGCTATATTCATAATTTCAAGTTGCCAAGTTTCGCAGCACCCGAGTGTCGACTGCAAATCTCAGCCGCAGACGACTTTTGGTTGCACTGCGCTTATCCCTGTCTCGCTATCGTTATATCCTAGCCTAGCTCTAATCTTTTTGCATGAAGAGGACGATGACGTACTCTGTTTTGGTACTTACACTTGACATTAATATAATATGCATAAATGATAACTTTCCAAAGTATTTGGATGTAGTCAACGTTTCTATTCATTACAAATATAATTTTATTTTTTATTTTTGTGTGATATACCGCTGTATAGTTTCCATAATAATTACTTTTAAATTATTATATATTACTTTTAGCGAACACTTACGACCTTAAAAGATAAACCTTTTTTATATCTACTCTCAAAAATCTTATGAGAAACATTGGCTAAATGTTGCCACAACACTTAGTCTACACCACTCTATCGCTAATAATTTTAAAGTTATATTTCTTTAGACATGTTGAGGAACAAACTTTTTTGTGCAACAAATATTGAAAATACAATCGAAATTAATACAAATAACATGGTAAAATTTTGATGATAAAGAGTTCTCAAATACAGAAAATAACTTGTGCATTAAGTAAAAAGTATAATACCAAAGAGGTAATGCCCTAAACAAATATGTAGTTATACAAACTTATACGAATTAACTAAATATCTGATGAAATAAAACGATCACAAGTTTCAAAAAACTAATCTCAATCTAAGAACGTAAATTTGTTCATCAACATGACAATATTTTGTATTACATGCTAACGATCGTCAAACTCGAAATAGGAACAGATGATTACTTAATACTTTTGAATATTATGTGCCTGACAGAACTGGCTTTATATGTTGCTTTAGAAAATTACAAAAATAATTGAGTGTCTACAAAAACGATTCGCACTATTCACCTTCTGGTTTGCCGAGTGGCGTTTCATACAACTTGTCAAAGTTAACTTGAGGCTTCGCTCGGATGACGAGAGAGCGCCGTACTAATTGCAAAAAACTAATAGTGTTCATCGGGAACTATCGAGTATTAATTAATTTCTTAGACGGCTCGGTGCTAAATAAAATAGAAAAATGTATACATATATTAATTTATTTTAGATTAGAAAGCTTTTGTTTTAAATTTTGAAGAAAGGTTCTACTACTCTCACACACAATGTAAACCAAGTGTGGGATCGATTTTGAATTTGTTGACAGTATTGACTTGTCGAGCACGAGAAGGGGCGTTTAAGGGGAAGCGAAGTGGGCGTCGGGAGGGTTTCAAGTTAACTTTAGCGAATTGTATATTAATTTTTTTTTGTAACATTTATTCAAATATAATTGGACATAGTTTATTAAAAACAACTCTAAAAATATTTTTACTAAATGTTTTAAATCCATTTTGCTTTGCAACATTAACTCACTAATAATAATTAAAATTTGACTTGTTTGAAATTTGTATAATTAAAACTACGTCCGATTTTTATTCAATTTTTTCATATTTTTGTTTTCGTTTGACTGCAACTTATATATTTCTAAAATGTCGCAAATTACAATGTTGCGCTGAATTTATTTTATGTCAATAATAATAAAAGCTATTTTAAAATAGATTTGACATAAAATATGCATCGCAAACACAAACCAACAAAGAAAGATAGACGAAGCGCTGCATACATATCAAGTGACGCAAAAGCCATGATCAACTTCTTGACACTTATTCAAGCACACATATTTTTTGTAAGCCGCACACATATCCACCTAAAATTAGTTGTCTAGTGCAAATGATTGTAGATGAATATGTGTACAAGAGTGCATGTTTTTTCAACAAGTTGAGCATGGGCTTAGCTTGGTTTCTTTTTTGTCATCTTCCTTTTTTGGTGTGAGCTTGCAACACAAAACTAACACTATCCCCCTCGTCCGACGGTGCGTGCGCCGTGCAGCGGGCGGCACGATGCGGCGCGACTACTACCGCGGCTCGCAGGACAGCCTGGCCGAGCGCGCCGGCCTCTACCGCGGTGAGCGCTTCACACTACTCACACACCACGCCATCGCTTCTTAAACTTTTTTGTACCAAATCGACCTCGCGTAGGGCTCTCGTGAGGTGAAATCTCAACCAAAAAAATATTTTAATAAAAAAAATCCGACTTCAAAAAACTTAAAAAAATATATATAATTTCACATTCTGCAGTCGATGTTAAGATAGACGACTATTTTGCCACCCTTATAGGTGAAACTTTTTCTTTAACAAAAAGAATCATAAAAATCGGTTTTTAATTCATTCACGATTTTTTTGCCACCAGGGTGGCGCCACTGGTGAGGTATAATATTTGACAGATTTCATAGCGTGGAAGTTAATTTGTTCGGAAAATGTAGAAGTTATTGTTTCTTTCTTTACTATTACCTATATTTTATATTAATAAGATTAAACAGCAGAAAAATCAAAAAAGTTAAAAATATGCAAAAAATAAAAAGAAAACCACTGCCGCATTGTTTTGTGTATTAATATAATACTCTAGAAACGGATAAACTTTTATTAACAACCAACTTCTCAATTAAATTACATTGTGTAACAAAAAACTACCTCAGTGTCAACTAGCAACATCTCGTATGCTGAAAATTATTAGCCCTCCTTAAGGAAGACATCGCATAAGCGTAACATACATACACAAAAAACATATTGTCGATTTGTAAACTTAGCTAAAGAATCATAGCGATGACTCATCAATTACATTAATTATTGCTTTATCTTTAAAGTTTATAATATAACAAAATAATACTTATAGTGTACAAAATAGGAGTTTTTTTTATATATAAAGTGACTTATTTTAAACAAGGCTCCCAACTTACAGTTTGAGAAACGATGGCCTACGTGAATGGACCTGATTTAAAAATGTTACCAGTAATAAAAAAAATGTGTATTAATTAATTTTAATAGAAATAATAAAAGAAACTTAATAAATCTTGTTCATTCACAAACGTTGAAAAGCTTTAGTTGTATTTGCACGAATTTTTATTTTAAATAAAAACAACGTTTTTACTTGAACAATTTTCGCACAAATAAATGTCTACATGTGACGCTTTTGTGTGCGATAGTTTTTGTGAATTTTTTTTATGATTTATTCATTTATTTAATGAATGATTAAGTAACTTTCCTTAATATAAGTTAGCCGTGACATAGAGTTCCCTTCATCTTGTCGAAAGAATCTCCAATGAATTCCCAGAAAGGTAGGTACTGGAAGCCATAATTACACTAATTAGTTAATTGCGCGTAGTGATAGCTTTTGACATTAAGCCATAGTCGAAATCAGCTTGAAGAATATTATAATAAATAAAACCGAACGAGCTTTATGTTTTTCTTTACTTTGACATTGCAGATACACGTGGTAAGAATATATTATAGTCAAAAATATCGTCGTATTCTGTCTGATTTTTATTGTAGTCTAACCGATAACATCAGTTGGCTATTCAGATGTCAGAGATAACATGGCAACAATACAAGTTGTATTTTCCATAGTGTAATACTATTTACCATGTGTTGGACTAAGGGTCTGTATTGAAAGAAAATACACGAACAGAAGTGGAAAGTGCAGTACGAGCTAATAAGGAAAAGAAGGAAAACTGCGAGAGTGCTTGCTACTGAATTGATTTATAAAAGTGCGTGACCGCTTTGCCCGTTGGTCACAATGCCTGGGAACTGAGCCGCCGGCTTGGGCTTGAATTCCACCGGAACCTACGTTTTTGAAAATACACAAATTATAAGTTTTTGGATCTGGTCTTCATCCATTATTGACACTGCATCTCTCTAATTTCAGGTGTTATTTCGGACCCGGGTAAATCAGGATGTGTGTGTCTGTGTGCATACACTTGTGGCATTATAATATCTTCTATACAGTTGATATTTTTTGATGTTTTTTGTTATAAAGCGAGTGACAAACCAATTTACAGTCCACCTGGTGTCTAGCAGTAGGTCGTAAGTACGTACGACCGAGCGTTTGTGTATCGTACGTAAGTAACTTCGACCGAGAGGTTGTGGATCTCAAGCTATCCTAATCTCGCTCGAACTAACATCCGAGATATCATCAGAATAGTGTCGGAATAGACATGTTTTTATATCGTTACGTACACTTGTGTATAGCTTTGACAACGATCTGTACAACTGTCCGTAGAACCTTTCAATCCTACTCAAAATCTCAGGTGTCCCGGAAATGACACTGCCTCAGTCTTCTACCTCTACCATCCTACAGATTTTTATATCATTCGTCCAATACTTAATAATATGTGAGTACTTGTGCTATATACCTCCCGAGTAAGTTATAATAATAAACATCATTGGCAAATAAAAGAAATTTAGTGAAGTTAGTATCGCATATTATTGTAGAGTCTCCTATCGAAGACCGCGGCGGAATATCACCGAGCAGTGCGTCGAGCGGGCCACTCGCAAGACGCGGCTCGTGCAAAACATCGCGTGGTGAGTACGCATACCGACACATGATCTCCCCACCCCTCTCCTCCCATCTCCGCGTCTCGTAATCGCAGCTCTGGATAAACTGAAACGACCTACTACTGAGCACAGACTTGCTGATTATTACTGCAATGGAGCAAAAACTCAACCATATTGATCTAATGATGAGTGGATGATTTCGCACGTCCACGATTTATTGGCTGCTTTAAATAAAATCTAATTAGTGAATAAAGCACAGGGAACGTTTAACAAAATCTCTGTTGCTCCATTACTTTATTCAAATGCAAACAAGCATGTGCTCAATTTCTGGTGTAATTTTCTTGATCTGGCAACATAACAAGCAAAGATCAGCTACAACACGCGTGGCGCTTGTGCGCTTTTTCAGTCCAGAGCTGTGTGTATGATTATCTAATAGTGTGCGAAAACTAATCAAGGCGTTCGCTTTGCTGGCAACCCAATTTTCACTCAATTTAAAAATGGCGTTACATTTTTTTTTACATTTGAACTTGTAATCAAATAAATTTGATTATTTTTCTGTAAAACTAAAAAAAACTTAATTTGATAAAACATACAATTTTACCAGTAAAATCATAATAATTATATTTAAAATCACTGCCATTTTTGAATTGAGTATACCATTATGTGGTAACTGGCGACATGTTTTGGTAAGATTTCCTAATAAATTAATACAAAACTGCAATCAAAACATGCTGCCATTATAACAAGTTTAGTGTGTTGACTGTTAAATTATAAAATTTTGAATACTGATAACATTTTTTTATGACATTGAATACGTGAAATTGAATCTGTTAAAAAATTTGTAATATTAAATAGATATCTCCATAATTTTTAATATTAAATAAATTAGTGCTTAAGCTTTTGGTAAGCAATTACAAAAGCTTATTCATAAAAAAGTAGACTAAACGGCTATTTATGTGTGATTGATTGATCAGAAATATCAGCTCTGTATAGATAGCCATATAGCTCATTTTCCTATAGTCAGTATAAAGCGCTTTTTGGATTTTATTTGTAGATGCTTTGAATCTTTTATTTATAGTTTCAATTGGTTATTTATATGTGTATGATTGCAGCAAAGCATAGATTTGTTTAGATACACTCCAAAACGCAAAATTTATCGCTTTTATACCTATTCTGGCCATATATTATTTATTTATAAATATGTAGTTTGCAACCTGGAACTAAAATCGATCAAACGGTTTTTTTCTATAGCTTTATCCAAAATTTCGGGCCAACCCCTAGACCTTCCGCGCATCTTTTGATTCCCATACAATTTTTGTAATTTTGGACCATTAAACAATTTGCCTTGTGACAGACGACATAGTATTAATTTTGTTTGCATTAATCAGTGCATCTCGCATCTTAATGAAATATGCCGTACATTGCGGAGCGTGCTTTTCTGGCTGCATGCTGCTCGCTCCAAGGACCGCTGTAATAACGCGTAACAAACGCGTCGCATGTGATTGCGTGATGACATTTATAAGGAAACATTTCAGAGCGTGTGAATGATGAAGCTCAGTCGTCACGTGGAAGGTCTAAATATACCACTTACCAGAGTAACTTTAAGGCTGGGAGGAAATCTAGCTCTCTTATGAACTTGTGCGGTAAGACACGTTTGAAATCAACACCAATGTACATACAGGCTTCACTCACGTTGGTACTGCCGGTTACCTTGGCTTGGTGCGTTGGGTTCTCGTTTATGTTGCTGCGCTCGTAAGAGGACGTCTCTATCGCTGTTTCGTCTCAACTTATCAAATTGTTTCTATATAATATAACAACTGATTATTTTTGTCATTTGAAATTGAAAACGATTATCATACAAAGTTTATCTAATCAAGTTGAAATGCGTAGGATTGTCAATAAATAAATGGTTTTCTGCTTATTAAAGCTTAAATTGCAAGTTTTATTTTTTACTTTATTTAAAATAATTTTTTGCTATAATTTTAATTTTAGTCACCCAATGTATTATTTTTTAAGCAAAAGCATTTTATTTATAAGCACAATCATTTGTAGAGAACGTCCTCTGAGAGCTAATTTTCCTGTCTTGTGCACATCTTGGTTCTTTATTTTAGTTACAGACCATTTTGTATATTATATATAAGGTTGTGGTACATTTCTTTCAGGTTATTTTTATTGGTATATTATGCATGGTATATTATATTTGGTGTTGGTGTGGCATCGTTAGATAATGCAGAAGGTATCCTAAGTTATTACGATATTGTATCGCGATTAATGATAATGACACGATTTCATCGTTGCACAAGTAGTTATTACAAAATATCCTTTACTAGTCGCATATTAAATTTGGTAATAGTATTATTTCGAAATGCAACAAAGAATGTGCATTTCAGGTATAATAATAAAGTCTAGATTGGAAAGCGAAGCAAAATATCAACTTTTGTACTGACTTCAGTAATTATGTTACCAAGTATTATTTATTCACAGAGTTCAAAATTCGAAGAATGGTAAAGTATTTATTATAAACTAAGTACGTGGCTTACATGCATTTATGTTCTAATGTAAAGGATATTTATCTGTAGTTCACAAAATATATCGATGTTTATTTGTTCATATTGAAATAAACTTCTAGTCGTTGTTATTATATGTTATTTATGTTTTATTTTAATTATGTAGATGATCAAAGAGTACGGCTTGTTTTGTTCTGTTCGCCATTTACTTTGCGTTAGTTGCCTTTGTAATAATACTCGCTTCAATAGTACAGGTATAAACCTATACATAATATTTAATTAACTTTAACATTTTATACTCAAAGTTGCATAAGTACTTGCTTTTTAAATATTAATAGGAGGATAAATAATATTTATAATTGTTTGCCTTTGTTCTGCTACCACTACATTTTGAGCCAACAAAGCTATGGATTCCAGATATATATAATACTAGCTGACCAGGCAGACGTTGTTCTGCCCTTTCCGACGACCATTTGCTTTCCTAAAGAAAAAACTCCTGAAATGAGCAATAAAAAAATTGAGGGTCACTTATCGGGATAAAAACTATCTTATCTCTCAAGTTGGACCAAACTGCACACAGTGTGCAAAATTTCATTGAAATCAGTTCAGTAGTTTAGGAGTTCACCGCGGACAAACAATGTGACACGTAATTTTTATATCTAAAGATAAAGACAAGATTAAATACTCTATTATTTAGTTCATTAGTAATAATATTCATCAATACCTTAAATATTTTTTTTTTGGGTTAAAACAAGAATAAAGCATATGCTGCAGTAATTTTAGTTGACTTAAATACTTGTGACCCGCCTTGATCATCAATCCTTGACGAATTGGATTGTTTCAAAATAATGACCTCCAAAAATGTGGTCTTAGTTGTATGCTCAAAAAAAATTAATATCCGTTTAATTAATATGTTATATTACGGAGCATATACAGAGTAGAATAGAAAAGTAAAACGCGTTAGTTATTCATTCATTTCACTCATTAGAGCCTATTAAAGGTCCACTGCTAAACATAGGCCTCACCTTTAGATTGTGGCAACCGCAGTTTTTTATTAATTAAAGGTTGTGAATGAATTTATTTATGCCGTCATTAAGAAAAGATAAATTTTAAATTTTGAACGTATAAGAAAGTAAATAATTTTCCTAGATAACTTTTGCTGTGAAGTTTAGTTTATGAATATTTTATCTTTGCAATAATCAGTTTTCTTATTTTAATCGTGACAAAAAAGAAAAGCGTCAGTATTTCATCTGTATGTATTTAACATATCCATACAGGGTTGTTTTTCAAAAAGTATCCATTTAATACCCTTATTGCAGCTTTTGAAAATACGAGTAAATAAGTCTTCTACTTTTATTAGAAATTTTATGTGATTAGATGTGATTAGTGAGCTGAAGTGGCAGTGAGCCGGCTATATAGCTCGAAGAACCGACAACCGATGGGGGAAAAAGGTTCGCGAGTTGCAGCCTCGTACCGGTAGGTGAAGTATAGGGCGACCCCCCATTAGATGAAGTGACGACCTGGTAAAACATGCAGGAAGTCAATGGATGCAAGTGGCCCAAGACCGTGCTTTGTTGCATTCCCTTGGGAGAGGCCTATGTTCAGCAGCGGAATTGTGAAGTGCTGTAGTGATGATGATGATGATGATGAAATGTGATAATCGTCATCATCATCGTTACTCTTCTGTGTGCGATTCAATTCACAACGTTTTTGTCGTCCGAGCGACCCTTACGAATGTGTGCGTGCGTAGTAAAATAGTAGGTGTTAGATATTTATGAATGACAATCAGTTAAAATAATGCATTACCACATTATTTATTCTGAATCTTCTCTGCAAATTTAGGTAATATATTGCAAAATAACCCTGTATAGTCGGCTGACAACCCATGGGGTTAGGCTCTCGAGTGGTAGCCTCATACTGGTAAATACAGTGTAAGGCGACCTCCCCCCACTAGATAGAGTGACGAACTGATGAAACACACAGGTAGTCGCAGCAGTCGATGGAAGGAATTGGCTCAGGACCGTAATTTGTGGCAAGGGATGGGAGAGGCCTATGTTCAGCAGTATTCTTGTGACGGGCTGTAATGATGGTGTGTGATAGTGATGTATTTAACAATTCAAAAACAAAATCTAGGCAATGAGCACGTTGGTCAAATATGTAGTGGTACAATGAATAATATGTGATAATAATGTTAGTATAGTACGCATTTCTTTACATAACTTGCTTAACGAGACCGTCAATTCAATATGTAAGAAACAAAATTTTTATTTTAAATGTTATATTTTCATTGATGGAAGCAATGAATGTGTACAGAAATATCAAAGTACTAGCTGTTCCCCGCGACTTCGCCCGCGTGTTAGGGTTTTATGTTTTTCTAATTCTTTTTCTAAAATAAAAGTAGCCTAAGTTACTCCTTATGAAATAAAAAAACAGCTATCTATCAGTGAAAGTCTCGTCAAAATCGGTTCAGCCGTTTCGGAGATTAGTCGGAACAAACAGACAGACAGACAGACAAAAATTTTAAAAGTTGTATTTTAGTTATAAGTACTGTATTTACTTTCATATGCATTTAGTAAAAAAACTGTAATTTTGACATTACAAACAGACACTTCAATTTTATTTATTTGTATAGTTTAGATAATGTTTTCAGAAAGAGCATCTCATAATATGAAGTCTGTTTTGCTCTCAGAATACAACAGCAAATTTTTCTGTACTGTAGGGTAGGCATGTACTCGTATGATTCCAAAATGTGTAACTTTCTTCTACTAACTTTAATTTTATGCCAGTCTAATAAACAATTTATCTAATGGTGCGGTACTAACTGGGGAATGTGTAACTTATTCGTAATTGTAAATGTAAATAATATGAAATATAATTTATAGCCGATTCATATTAAAACAGTACTTTATTTTTTTAAAGATAATCATAAATTTTAATAGGAATTTAATGTACTAATTATGTTATATTGAGATTGTATTTGTTGTTATAATTTTGAATTATATAATTAAAGATGTTTCGTTTATTCAACAATTTAAAGAAAATGTTGATAAAAGACGATAGTAAGACACTTGATGGATTAAATATAAAATATTAGAGGGGAAAGTATTAAAATATTAAAAGGGAAGCGAAAATGGGATCTGACTCCGATGGAGTAATTGTGGTTAGTAAAGTGGTTGTTGGACACAACTTGAAAAACCGACCATAACAAACGTTGTGGAAGAAAAATTCTCGAGACGTTTCACTGCATTAGATTCTCGAGACGTCACACTGCATTGAGTGTTGAACGTGCTCGGATCGGGCAGTAGGGTGGTGGGGTGGGAGGTGTGTAGGCAGTGGGATAACAAAGGCGCGTTCCCAGACTCGGGGCTGGGGCGCGCGACGCCGCCGCGGCGGGCCGCGTCGCCGGGCGTGCGCGCGGGCGCGGGGGGCGGGGCGGGGGCGCGCGGCGCCGCGTCGCCCGCGTCGGGCCCCGGCTCGCTGCCGAGCGCGCACACGGCGGTGGGCCGCCGCCGCGCGCCGCACGACGACGCCTCCGACGTCTCCTCCACGCACTCCTCCATCATGGACTACTCGGGTGAGTACACCGGACAACCCTCAAGCGGTAAACAGGACACCCACGCCTTTTTCTGCCACCACGACGGCGACACTTAGGAATGAGGTAAAATGTTTGACAAGTTTTAGAAGTTAATTGGTCGGAAAATGTAAGGGTTAATCTTCTTCGTTGTAAATGTTCTATTTTATGTTAATTAGATTAGAAATCAATAAACTACAGATATTCCTAAAATAAAGAAAAATTTAAAATAGGTACAAAAATTTATAAAAAATGAAAAAGCAAGTCAATAAGCCATTGTTTTATGTATTTTACGTACACTAGAAACCGATATTTTTTTTATTTTAAACGCAACTTCAGTAATTACGACATTATTTATGTATGAAATAAATTCACTCACTCCCACCTAACGACTACTGGTGAGCGTAAAATGATTGACTCTCACTGATGACACGAGTCACGAACACGCAATAGGGCTGCCAATCCTACAATATTACGAGTATTATAGGTCTGAATACCATAACTTTTCAACGTAGTTAAACCATGCTGCAGCTATATTAGTAGTATAGTTGTAGCACGAATGAGTCGGCTCGAACGGGGAAGGACCACGCTCTCACAGAATACTAGCGTAAAATGGCAGTTTAACACTGCTGTGTTTCGTATGGTGAGTGTAGAGAACCGGAGACCCTTTTTACTGGAAAAGAGGCATTCCATCTTAGCGCTCACGGGTGACAACGCATCTGCATTTTATTCGCCAACGAGGATAGATGTAGATGTCTATGGGTCACAGCAACCATTTACCATCAGGTGACTGTGTGCTCGTTTATCACCCTATTCCTATAAAAAAAACTTTACTAAAATATAATATATAAAAACCCTGTCCCACCCATGAGGTTGTTTTTAGGTATCACGATATTATTCTGTTCATCATAAATAAAAAATATACAACAAAATATAAAACTTAATTTTAAATAAAAACTTACATGATATTCCATGTGAGTAGCCATCGAGTAACAATATATACTTAATCGAATATCTCTGTAAGCCACTGCATAATTGCAGCCACTTCTGCTCATACACGTTAACATATTGAAATACACTTAATTACATTACGACATTCTGATACAGCATTAATAATATGTTTTAATTTTTATTTGGTAATGTCATTACAGTATCTATGTGCCTCTTTCGGATCGGACAGGAGCTTTTTTTACATAATATTATGCGTTATTAGTAAATTTTAATAAAGACTGACTATTGCAAGATGCCGTTAATAAAAACTCGAAGCAGAAAAAAAAATTGCTTTATTTAAAATTAAATAATTATTAGAAACATGTTATATTGCATATGTATTTTTAAAATAAAAATTTGAAAATACTATATAATTAAATATAGTATTTTAGATATAAAAGTTGGCAACCCTAGCAGTACTAGGGGTGAGAAATTAAATAAATTAATTTTTATTACTTGGACGTACAAATTTAATTTTAGTTTGTTAAATGTTTATTAGTCTACTCATTAGTGAATTATCAAACTCGAGCAGACTAGGATTGCTAATTTTTCAAGCCAATTACTTGCAAAATATAGTAGACTGCAAAATATTAAAAAAAAACAGTATGTTTTAATAATAGTTTAATTTTAAAGGAATATTTTTGCTGCTCTGACCTTTAACAGCCTCGCACCATAGTCGTCAGCCTTTGTAGTTGCAATAGTTGTATCGACTAATATATATTTTTTGAAATATAATATTCGGGCCCCAATAGAATCGACTACTGCACACGTTAAGAATGTGCAACAACTGGTATCAATGCACGGTATCCCAATTAGGCCAATGTGGAACCGTCCTTTATTTTCTATTTTACGTACTGAGAGCAGAAGGAATTACAAAACATTCGTCGTTTTGCGTTTCGTAGGTTAACTAATCCTTCTTCAAATATTAGTTTCGTGGGCGTGCCTTACCCAGTTATATTTCTTGTTACTCTTACACTTTTATAATATTGGACTACAGGTTAAGGGTAATTTGCAGTGCTAAATATGACTTGCTAATTTCCTTAAAACTCTATAATCTTTATTGGTATAAACCAAGTAAAAAAAAATTGCAAATTCAAATATTGTATGTTATTTAAATAAGTGCTAATGTACGATACCAAAAATAATTAATTAATTATTTTATTTTAATAAAATAAAGAGTTAATGTTAAACTTATGTTTATGTTTATAATAAATTCTAAAATAAATTGTCACAAGTGGACACGCACTGCTGTGTTCCGGTTTAAAGAGTAAAGCCTTTAACAATAGTTTAAATCTGGGCCTGGGCCTGGGCCTGGGCCTGGGCTAAGGTAAAGCTGTGGTATATAAATTCAGATATTATGTTGATCCCAAAAGTGTGGCCAATATGCGTTTTCTTTAAATCTTGAAAAGGCCTATATTTATTATTTCAATTCTCTATTACGATATCGTATCATCTATCGAAGTTGATGATAAGAGAGCGTGTTATAATATATTATATACACACACATTTTGAGCGCTATATATTATGTAAATATGTACCTATAGAGTTTCTGTAGTTTACGGACATAGGCAAATCATTAAAAAGTTTTTTAATTCTTCTGCATCTTTTATTTATTCATTACTTTTGTTTCTTTATATGTATTATAAATTACTTTTGTTTCTTTGTATGTATTATAAATGTACAAATCCTAGTGTAGAGGATTTTCAAAATCTTTTTTAATCTAGTTAATAAACGATCTTATTAGTTGTGCATTCTGTTCTAGAAGCATCCTCGGTTCGGGAACGGCGTAAAGGTTCATAGATTATAATATTTTTGTATTACGTAGGTAGTTCACGTTATGTAAAAAACGCAACGATGTCATGCCAACACCCTGATTATGTTTGATTTTACTATAAGGCATGGTTTTGTGATTTGTAATTTACCGTTCTAACATTGCGTTTACGTTTGACGACGCTTTTGACATCCGCTTTCTCACCGAGATTGTTTTTTTTAAATATTAACACAGCATCAAAAGGCACTTCATTAACAAGCCATTGGCATTCGTAGTCGTAAATACAGTTATTATTATTACTTAGTTGTACCAGTACAGATATTGTCACTTTAACATTTATGAGATTTTCGTATTTTTGAAATAAATCTACACGTAATGAGTTTAGTTGGTATTTATATTTTCACATTTTTTTTGTTAAAAAATGTGTTGATTTCTAAATAGTATATTTGCTTAAACCAGTTTAAAGAATAGTTTTGTTTTCTTTTTTCACTTTTGCAATTCTATCAAATGAATTGCTGGCACAAATTACAACAGCAATAGATATAAATACATTTTCTTTTGTCTACTATAGAATTATATAATTGTAACATTAGGTAAAAATTTATTATAACACATTAAAACAAAACGGATTGACAAACACCTATGTTATGCACTTGTTCGATTACACGAAATATGATACGCGGGCGAATTGCAGGGCCGAAACTGTACAAGCAGCCGACGACGAAGTCGAACCGCGGCATCATGCTGAACGCGGTGGAGTACTGCGTGTTCCCGGGCGCCGTGAACGCCGAGGCGAAGCGGCGCGTGCTGGAGGAGATCGCGCGCTCGGAGAGCAAGCACTTCCTCGTGCTGTTCCGCGACGCCGGCTGCCAGTTCCGCGCGCTCTACTCCTACTGCCCCGACACCGACCACGTCACCAAGCTCTACGGCACCGGCCCCAAGCACGTCAACGACAGGATGTTCGACAAGTTCTTCAAGTGAGTTATTATATATATATATATTATAGATATTAGTTCATTAGATTAACGCATTACATTAATCTGAATAAATTTAAGACTATCAAACATATATATTGTTTTAAATATCAGGGACTACGATTCCCGCCGGCACCAATGAAATTGTTAATTGCAATATTAATTTCTGATGTAACACGAGCCCGGAGTGGAGATCCATAAATTTTATCTGCAATAGTAAAAGGTGCTTCAAAATATTCATATGCTTGAAGGATTGTAAATTAAATACCTAATATAACAGTAACAAATAACCTTTGTATAGTTTGAGAATAGTTTTCTATTAATGGATGATGAGCTCAAGTTCAGTAAAAAACCGTGAGGAGACCTGCATGTATGAGAAATTAAAAAAGAAAATATTTCGAAGACACGTGAAGTTTGTCAATACATATTAAGGCAGCGCGACGGGAATTTCCTTGTCCTAAAACACTCTTGAAATGAGAGTAGCCCTGTGCCCACCTGTAGGACGTTTATAGGTTGTAACTTTTATGTTTTATTGACAGCCCATCTGATTGTAAGTGGATGCTGTGGCCCATAGATTTCTACATCGATTACGAATCAAAATGCAGATACGTTGTCACCTCTGAGGACTAAGATAGGATGCCTCGTATCCAGTCAAAAGAGTTTCCGAATCCGACCCATTCGTGCTACAACTATAATATAGCTGCAACATGACTACCACGTGTATCATATTTGGATTACAACAATGAAAAGACATCTGATGATAAATACCAGTAGCATTACTGTCATGACAACAGCGCTTTGTTTGCCATTTTTACCTTTTACATGATTAATTCAGGTGTTGTTTATTGTCTCTGTCTGTCATTCATCCAATCTAAATATTAAAATAATAATATTGAAATCATTGACAAATAATTCACTGCTGATCGGCACGCCGCAGTACCAAACGTCTCGCGCGTTTGCCGTTGCTCCCGGTCTACCATATAAGTATTGGTTATATTATCATTTCATTAGATGTGCTGATGAATCCTTTATTATACATCAAAATTGTAGTAGGTAGTTTTACTGCACTTGATGTTCTTGGTCTATATGTTAAGCAGTAGACTACTGAAGGTCTGGCGATTATATTTAGTGATGGCTTAATTGGATTCATTTTATCTCACGCAATATGTGAAGTTTAACGGTTAAACCGATAAAGCTAAAATAAGCAAGTCGGTGACCGAAAGCAGATTATATATACTGCACAGCACTGAAAGATCTGTTTATTTTATTTTTAACATTATATTTTATGTATATATTTATGATTGTCTATAACAAAGACTTCTATGTATATGAATAGACGGTCTCTTAATACATTGCGCACTAAGTTGTAGCCAATTCTCCGTAGTCCCTTTAGTCGACTGCGAGAAACTAGTTCTTTTTTTTGTAAATCTAACACTGATTTTATTTAATGTGACTAAGAAAACGCTGTCATTGTTTATGTGCACACTTTGTCGACATGATTTGAAGTTTATTTAAAATAAATATGTAACTTTATTTCGAATTTGCATAAAATCAGAAACTGTTATAAATGAAAATGCAACCGTTGCCAAATTACCGTGGCAGCTACCCGCCCAACCAGCGCAGGGGCAACCCCGCATCCACAGCTGTTACATAGTTTTTGTTAATGTCTACATATTGCTCCACAGATATAATTCGGGTAGCAAGTGCTTCTCACAAGTTCACACGAAGCACCTCACGGTCACAATCGACGCGTTCACGATACACAATTCGCTGTGGCAAGGCAAGAAGGTGCAACTCCCCAGCAAGAAGGATATGGCGCTCGTGATATAAACCGACGCGAACTCCGTCCAAACGACTGCGTCACGTCACACCACTACAGATTGGATCGCGGCCACAAGCTGACCTGTGATTGGTGGAAATACGGCGCGATAGTTAGTTGGAGTGTAACTGAAGTTTTTAAATAAAGTTATCTAGTCGCCGGCGGCAGTCGAGTCAAGCCTTTATTACTCCTCAGTTAAACGCTTTTTAGGGCAATAGTGCCAGTAAAAGTATCGGTTAGAACATTTCTCTGGACGGGAGCCACGTCGAAATCAATTTGCGTCGCTCCCTGTCTGTCTGTCGTTATGTACTCTCTTGTGATCCTTTTTTTTATTTGAAATAACTTGATATTGTTTGAAAATAGCGTTGATAAATCTTGTATGGGTATCGAGTTTTAATATTATGAAGGGTTATTTGAGAAAGTAAGGCGCGATAGTGTGATGTCGACCGATTAGTTTTATAAGGCGTGATACGTTCGAAGACTTGGTCGAATCTTAAATGAAAGAGGTGCGTACGAAGTTTTTGAACGGAGCGCAGTTGCGATCGGTGCCTGTGTCATATTGTACAGTTAGGTTGGATAGAAAATGTGAGCTCGAATCTGGTTAGGTTTTTAAAAACCGCGTATTCGCGGGTGACTTCGTTGTGTACAGATTAAAAATTCATCGAATCAATACAATCTGTAGTCTGAAAACAGATTATATATTGTAAGCTCACAACTGGTTTTTAATCTGTATATACGAGATTATATTATTTGGCAATATGATTTTGGAAGTTTTATAGCGCTGAGTTTGTTCCGTTGTTTATTTGTTGTGATTGTTTAGCGCATTTAGGACCATTGTTACACTTATTGCATCGATCTCTAATTTGTCACGCATACACAACCGTTCAATTTTAAGTTTGAGCAAAGATATTATCAAGTGTTCAAATTATTGTACGAAAGTTTGCCGCTTCGTCCCACTAGCTCATTACTTACGTACTTGTGTATGGCCTAAATCTATTTAGATTAAGAATATCGTGTCTCAAAAGTCAATTTATTTTTAATTTGCATTTCAGGTTGTATCTGATCCAAATATTTTTAGTGTTTTATTTTTATTTTGGCGTAATTATGATTTTATTATTGAATCACATACATGGTAGGTAGTATTATTGTATACGTAATAAAAGACATTTTGTGCGGACATTAAATGAATGTATGCTGTTTTTTAATTTATTTAAACGAAGCTTGTTTGGGCTAGTGGATGCGAGTCTCGTCAACAGCTTTGATACCTGAATATTGGGTGTAGAAATGTTAGCTTGCGATGTTTGCCATATGTGTTAGTGAGATGGTTATGTACGTTCCAAATTGAACAAGTCTCAAATGCAAGTAAACCGGCCAGGCTGCGGTGTTGTCGTTCTGCGTCCTCTGTACCCCGTTAAGTAACAAATTCACAAACTAATCGTGCTTAATTGTTATTATATTTAACTTGTTAGTGATTATTTCAATTGACTGGAGGTAAGATGATTATAGTAATTGCGTGTTTGTTTAAAACATTCATTTAACGTTATTCAATTTCCATTTTTTACTGCTTGTATAGCTAAAATAAGACAAGGCACATTTTACGTGGTAATTGTACTGCCTTATCCTGTACATAATTGTTTTTGTATACAGCTATTTATTAAAAAAATGTTAAACGAAAATTGATGAATATCATTTTTTCATTGTTCAATGATTGGTCATCAATTATATACTACCGATAGTGTATGGTATGCAAATATATTGTATTAATAAAAAGCATAACGAAATAATATTGAATTTCATATTATTTGGGTGTTTTATTTACTTTACCGGGAAATCTCTTGGCGTGCTACGTTTTAAGCAGGTAATGTACCCAATTTGCACGATCTAAAAAACAGGTGTTCACACAGAATGGGCAGGTAGCGTCTTCCTAATAAAAACTAGAAATAACGATCGCTAACCTTCTTGCCTAGCGTGGCAATTTTGACAAATCCGTGGCGCAGTGGCTTAGCAATGAGTTGTAGCGCTAAGGGCTGCGGGTTCGAATCACACGTAACAAGTATTTGTATGTCCTACAAATAATATTTTTGGGTCTGGATGTTTGACCTTGTGAAATTGATGTATTTAAAATTTCCCCACGATACAGGAGAAAATCCTAGTGTGAAGGGAACGCTTTAAAAAAAAAGAAGAGATATCCCCCTCATGAGGCATTCTATGGGGAGGCCTATGTTCAGCAGCGATCCTTTGATAGGCTGTAATGAATGAACAAATAAACTGACCAATTGAACAGACCATAACCTAAATTTACGATGATCGATGTGAGTAGGGCCTATTCACATCGAACATCAACAGCTGGACATGCTTTTCTCAAGGCACAATAATCCGACCTTTGGCTTTACGCGTTACGTGATTTCACCATATCTATTTTAAGATTTTATCATCCTCCGTACTCTTCTTTTTTATCAACGCAATCCACGTATTTATGATAAATATGTACGGTAAACTAAGTACCCACATGGCTGGCCCAAGGTGGCCGCTCCGAGTGGGCTTGGTGGCCCCCGTCGAATGTGTGTTGGCAGACTGCGGCGAGAGGCGTGTCCTCTCCCACTACCGCCACAGCCGAGGTGAGTCGCAGAGGAAGAGTGTTTGTACGCCACTCTGCTTATCTTCCGTAAGCCTAGCGGGGCCGCCACGTAAACCTCACATAATATTAAAAACAAGATTGTACAACCACTGCGTGCTGATCAGTAAGCTGAAGTGGCAATGTGCCGGCCATGTCGCTCGAAAAACCAATAACCGATCTGGAAGGAAGATTCTCGAATGGCAACCGCGTACCGGTGATCGTAGTGTGTAAGAGCGGCCTCCTACTAGATGGAGTGACAACCTGGTAAGAGATACAGGAAATTGGATTGGGTGCCGGGATGGTTTAGATTCACAATTGGACCCGGCGGGTGGTGCTGTTGTCGAGATCCAAAAATTACTCCTACGAAGCCGGGGCGGATCGCTAGTCTGCTAAAATTTTGGAAATAAGTGAAATAAAACGAAGAACTAATAATTTCAGTTTATTTTCAGGTATTCATGTACCAGAATCAATAATTGTTTATTAAATTTTTATCCAGTTGCTATTGTTGAATTTCAATATTACTTCAATAAATTAACACCACGTAAAATTATAAAATTATGAATATATAAAAAACAAAAGCCTCGTATCGTGTGCAATGTAGAAAATTTTACGACATACGGAGTAAGCTTTTATTAAATCTCTTTTACAGATTCTCAATTTGAAAAATAGAACTAAACAGTGACAAGAGGGAACAGTTGTTTCCCCGCTTGGTTATTGCAGCCATTCGACACCTGCTGCCAACTTCAAACAAAGAAGGCAATACATAAAGGGTGACAATACACCTGTGATATTGTCACCCGCACTTACAGGATTAAGATGACATGCTTACAGCCTTTAATTACGCACCCAAATCATCAATCAATCAACATCGCCGATACGTGCACTTCTACTTAACGCCAGAAATAGATAAGAGGATGTTTGTTACCAACCCAGAAGAACACATATACGTAAATGGTGACTTCTTTCCTTCTACCCCCTGGGTTTAAATATATTCATATGGACAACATAAATAAAAACTTTGATGGCAAATAAATTTAAATCATAACTGATTCATATGGCAGTAAAATACATCTACCACGAGGCCGAGAATATACCAAACTTACATTATATTCATCAATTATTAATAAATCATGATCAACTCTGTGAAAAAAACTTTTATCTGTGACACCTATGAAATTGGAATACAGTAGTAACTGTGGTCTAGAGAGCATGGATGGCGGACGTATGGCTTGCATACCATAAATGCCTTTAGCATGGCTTCGGAGAAGTACAAAAATAGAATAATTGAAACTAATCAAGTAATCTAATCTATAGTAATTTAAATTTTATTTTATAATTTTGCTCTAATTATATTTTTGTGGATATTTAACACATGTGTAAAAAAACGTTTGCCATCCCTCTCTAGAGACACGGTTGTTATGTCACAAGTTTGAAAGTATTTATTATATAATGTAGCTAAAATACCTCTTTCAATATATGCAATACTTACATGACGTAAATTTTCGAAATACTATATTTACACAGCATGAAGTTAACAAATAATTAAATATTATATTTTTATATTTATATAACTGTAATACAATAAAAAAAATAATTACTTATTATATTCATATTAAAACAGCATATAAACAACTACAAATACGAGTTAGTTGAGCATATTATATTGAATACCAGCTTATGGTAACATTACGAATCGGTAACCAGCTTTTAGAGCGTAATAATTTTTTTAAATTAATAATTATTTTCCACTTAAGAATTAAAATGATACTGTGCAGCATCATTGCAAAGTCCCAGAATCACTTAATAATAAATCACAGAATCGTCTCATTGCTGTTAAGTACTCAAACCAGCGTGTAGTAATGAGTAACCGGTGAAGAACCATTGCTGTCCACGCTCCTTTGCAAGTTCAATTGGTGAACTACGGTGTCCGAACTGTCTATGTCCTGAAATTTTGTGAAGGTATATTTATCTTATTCCAAAAATTTGGACACATAGTTTAAAACTCAGCGAAAAGAAAGAATATAACTTGATGGGAACACAAAAACTAACATAATAAATTATTATTTTATATAAGTTTAATCATTGTTAATGTGACCATATGTGTGACAGTAGTAAGCACATGTACTACCCCATATCTTCACGAGAGTCGTAAGAGGTGACAGAGGGAAATAAACCAGGGGATGGGAAGCCGCGTCTTTCTAATAACAATAAAAAAACTGCAGTTGCTAACCCACATACCAAGTATAGCAACTATGGCAAAGGTCCCCCCTATTAGGCAATCTATGGATTATATTCATTATATAGTATTGTTACGAGCTTGGGGTTCGAGACAATTAAAAACTGCCGATTGAATTACCAAAATTGACACTTTAATTACACAACACTAATTACAAT